GGATCACAGGTGGTTGAAACTGCCCAAGAGAATTTCATCAAGGAGCTGGGAGAAGTATGGGATTGAGAATGAGCGCAAGGTTGCAACTGCCCTGCCAGCAGAATTCAAGCTTGTGAAAGCTGCAGAGGATGATGGTTGAAGCCGAGGAGCACAGCAATTTCAGTCCTTGGTGGGCAGCCTCTTGTATGCAGCAGTTCACACGAGGCCCGACATCTCTTTCTCGTTTTGGGCAGCTGCAGGGTATGCAGAATCCATCAGAGGAGCAGGTGGATGCAGCTGAGCGTGTGGTGAAGTATCTGAACTCTCACCCAGCATTGGAGTTCAATACTCCGCATCTGCACAGGTGAAGCAGAAAGGGGTTGAGGTGCTGAAAGAGAAAGGGGAGAGGCTTGGAGAAGGCAAGCTTTTTCTCACTTGCTTTACCGATGCTACGTGGGCCTCTGAGAAGGAGGATTCCTCATCTGTGTGAGGATACATCTGCGTAGTTTGGGGAGGACCGTTTAGTTGGAGGTCAAAGAAGCAGACGGAGACAGCACTCTCGTCCGTGGAGTCAGAGTACATGGCAATGTTTCATGGGGTGAAGGAGGTGATTTGGCTGAGGAGGCTGTTAGAGGAGATTGGCCAGGGCAAAAGTTGCTATGTTGCCGCTGTTTGTGATAGCAAGGGAGCTCTTGGATGGCCAGGAACGCTGTGCTTCATGGGCTCAATAAGCACATGCGTATCAAGTGGCACTGGCTGCGTAAGGAGGTGAAGAGGGGGACGGTGAATCCGATCTACATCAAGACTCACCAGCAGCCAGCAGACTTCCTCACCTAGAGGCTTGCGGATGAGCCTCATTGGCGTTGTGTGCGCATAAGTGGAATGAGCATGAACTATTATGGAATGATGGGGATGCAGCCGGCAGGCTGAGGGGGAGTGTGTTGGGTGCAAATTCACATTGCATGACATCCTGCCGTCTGTTTGTACGAATATGCGTGTGCGAATGCATTTGCGTGTGAATGGTATGTTCGTGTGTTTTGTTTGCTTTCGCAATTTTCGCTTGAAGCATTTGCAGGTACTCGCACAATGTGCGCTTTCGGCATAACATTGTATGCGCTATGAACAGTACAAGCAGAAAGGACGAGCTTGCAAAGGAACCCAGATGGAAGCTTTGTGGTTCGGCTTTCCTGATTTCGCAGATTCAGTTCTATCCAACTCGAAATTGTACTGTTTTGTTTGGTTTGACTATAGTGTAGCAGGGAAGGCACTATAGGGGTACAATTTAGGTGAAGGTTGGATGTTGTTTGTCTGTATCTGAATGCTACAGGGCCAGGGGGAACCAGCGGAACCAGCATTTGGCTGGTTGGCAAAGACAAAACAGGTTCTGTTTTTAGGACCTGAACCTGGTTGTTGTTTTCCCAGGTTGAAAAACAGAACCAGAGGTTGTTCACCAACCTACCACCTGCTATTTTGTCCAGCCAGGTTGGTTCTGTTGCTTGGAATTATTTGGGATCATCCCTGGTTGATCCCAGGTTATTCCCATGGTCCTTGCTAGCTAGATGCTATTTATTCCTTCTCTGTTTGTACCTGAATATAGTGAAATTGATTCAAGCGAATTCCTTCCTTGCTGGAATTTCGTTTCTACTACGCGTGTGCGACGGCGGAATGCTACCCGAGTCAACGCTAGTACGCTAGCACTCCAACGCTAGGCTAACGCTGTCCGAGCCAAAACTTCGTAATGGCAAAACTTTTTCGCGGGCCAACTTGGCTTATTTTAAAGCTCTTAGAGTGAGCTTCGATATAGGAAAATCTCAGCTTAATCCGGTCAACGGTCTGCACGATACGCTGCGCGACGTTCAAGGTACTCTTGCTGTTTTGACTAAGTCCCTCTTGATCCCTCTCTCTACAAACTCGGACCCGAGGATAGGGCAGGTCTTGTACCAGGCACCCAAGGACCCTTGGAGGTGACCCCGAGGAGAGTTTTAAGTTTGATAAAGTCTTAATAGCTTGAGTTTATTGGGCCCTTACACCAACACCCCCCCTTTCCCGTCTCTGCCTTACGCCCTATTTCTCCCTGTTCCCTCTCTTCCTTACACCGTCTACCCCCTTTCCCGTCTCTGCCTTACCCCTTCTTCCCCCTGTTCCCTCTCTTCCATACAAGCTTCTTCCCCCTATCCCTCCCCTGCCTTACCCCCTTCTTCCCCTTGTTCCCTCTCCTCCTTACACCCTTCTTCCCCCTTTCCCCCGTTTCCTTATGCCCTTCTTCCCCCTGTTCCCTCTCTTCCCTCTCTTCCTTACACACCGTCTACCCCCCTTTCCCGTCTCTGCCTTACCCCCTTCTTCCCCCTGTTCCCTCTCTTCCATACAACCTTCTTCCCCCTTTCCCGTCCCATCTCTGCCTTACCCCCTTCTTCACCATGCTCCCTCTCCTCTTCACACCCTTCTTCCCCCTTTCCCGTCTTTGCCTTACCCCCTTCTTCCCCTATTCCCCTCTCTGCCTTACCCTCTTCTTCCCCCTGTTCCCTCACCTCCTTACAACCTTCTTCCCCCTTTCCTGTCTCTTCCTTACCCCCTTCTTCCCCCTGTCCCCCCCCCCCCCCCTCACAACCTCCCTTTCCCATCTCTGCCTTACCCCCTTCTTCCCCCTGTCCCCCCCCCCCTTACAACCTCTTTTCCCTTTCCCGTCTCTGCCTTACCCCCTTCTTGAGAACTATTCCCTCTCCTCCTTACACCCTTCTTCCCCCTCTCCCGTCCCTGCCTTACCCCCTTCTTCCCCCTGTCCCCTCTCTTCCTTACCCCCTTCTTCCGCCTCTCCCGTCTCTGCCTTACCCCCTTCTTCCCCCTGTTCCCTCTCTTCCATACACCCTTCTTCCCCCTATCCTGTCTCTGCCTTACCCCCTTCTTCCCCCTGTTCCCTCTCCTCCTTACACCCTTCTTCCCCTTTTCCCGTCTTTGCCTTACCCCTTCTTCCCCCTGTGCCCTCTCTTCCTTACAACCGTCTACCCCCTTTTCCCGTCTCTGCCCTTACCCCCTTCTTCCCCCTGTTCCCTGACCTTCTTACAACCTTCTTCCCCCCTTTCCCGTCTCTGCCTTACCCCCTTCTTCCCCTATTCCCCCCCCCCCCCCTTTTTGCAACATCTACCCCCCTTTCCCGTCTCTACCTTACCCCCTTCTCGAGAACTGTTCCCTCTCCTCCTTACACCCTTCTTCCCCCTCTCCCGTCCCTGCCTTACCCCCTTCTTCCCCCTGTCCCCTCTCTTCCTTACCCCCTTCTTCCCCCTGTTCCCTCTCTTCCTTACAACCCTCTTTCGCCTCTCCGTCTCAGCCTTACCCCCTTCTCCCCCCTTTTCCCTCTCCAACTTACACCCTTCTTCCCCCTTTCCGGTCTCTTCCTTCCCCCCGACTTCCCCTTTTGTGTTCATGTACCTCCCTATCCTTCTTTCGCCTTTCCCTGTCTGCCATTCACCATACTTCTCCCCTTCTCCCCTCTGTGTTACAACCTTGTACCGCATTTCTCCAATATGCCTTGCACCCTTCTCCCCCTTGTACACTCTCTTCCTTTCACCCTTCATCCCCCTGACGCCACTCTGCCTTACTCTTTGAATCCCCCTTTCCCATCGCTCCTTTACACCCTTCTTCCCCCACTCCCCTCTCCGCCTTTCTCGAGTCTTCACACTTACCCTTTTCTGCCTTATTCCCTCTATCCCCCATTCCCCAATCTGCCAAACTCCCATTGTTTGACATTTCTCCTCGATCGCTTACATCCTTCTTCACCCTTTCCCTATCTCCTATTCGCGCTTCGTCGCCCTTTCCGTTAGCTGCCTAAACTCATCTCCCCAGTATCCCCTCACATCATTACACCCTTCTTCCCCCTTACGCCTCTCTGCTTTACTCCCGGCTGCACCTTCTTCTCTCACTTCCCTACTGCCTTTCCCCCCCCCCTCCCCTCTCTGCCTTACGCTCTTCACCGCCCTGTCATCTTTTTGCCGTAAACTTGTTTTTTCCCTCTTTACGCACGCCAATCTGCCATACTCCCCTTGTTCCACCTTTCCTCTCTCTACCATACATCATCTCCCCCCTTTCTCCTCTCTGCCTTCCACCCTTCTTCTCCCTTTTCCATCGGTGCCCACACAAACCTTCCCTGAATCCCCTTTCTGTCCTGAACACCCTTCCAGCGACTACCCTCTATCAGCCTTACACCCTTCTTCCCCCAATCCCCTCTATGCCTTGCCCCCCTTCCTCTGCCTTTCCACCCTCTCCACCTTACACCCTTCTTCCCCCTTTATCCCTCAATCCACTCTCTCTTATTATATCCCTCCCCTCCCTCTCCTCTCGTATGCCGATCTCCCCTCCCTGTTTATTCCCCCCCTCGCCTTCATTGCACCGTACGCGACGGCCAATCCGCACCTCTCTGCTCAACATCTCCAATCCGCACCCCACGCCTTGCCTGCACCACTTCCGGGGTGTAACGTCAACACTCTGGGAGAGGGGGAAATGGGTACAACGCGCCATCTCTTCCTTGCCTCTCTCCTCCCTCTTCCTTCTCTCATCTCCATCCCCTCTCTCCTCCGACTTCCCTCACGCCCCACCCTGCCCTCTCTACTCTGCCTTTCCTTTCTCACCCCCCTGCTCGCTCTCCTCCCCTCTCAAATCTCAACTCCCGAACCTCTCCTCCCCCTCTACCCCTCCCAGACCTCTATCCCTTCAATGCCCTCTCTCCCCTCTCTGCCCTCTCTCGACCCCTTGCCCTACCCTCCCTCCCTTATCTCTCTCCCCTCAATAATATGTTGCCCCTGTCAGACCCTCTCGTTACTCTCTGTCATGTCCCCAATACCCCGCTCTTTCATCTCTGTACTCCTCATGCCCCCTCCCTATCCTGTGCCAACCCCATCCGTGTCAAGTCCTATTCCCACACTTTACACTTGGGGTTCCATGTGGCTGTCTTATTATATGGCTCCTCTCTGCCCTGACCTGCACCCATGCCCAATCTGAGCCTGTCCCCCTGAGGCTGCAATGTTGTCTCCCTTCTGCCGCACACTGCCCGGGCCCCATTCTCTGTCATTTTGCACTCCATGATCTAGCACGCCACATGTTCCAGTTCCCCTCACCCACCTCCCTCCCTTCCCCACCCTTTCGAGGCAGTCTACAACTCTCTCTTGCCAGTGTGAGGGCTGGAAGCAAATGTCGCACCGACAAGGGACGGGCAGTGGCTCAGCTAAGCGCGTCCGAACTGGCGGGCCTGTTAGGTAAGCCATTCCGGTATTGGTTCACTACACCTCCAGCGCCTTTTTCCTTTGACAATATCCGCTTACTGCACGTTACTATTTTGCACTCGCTCATTTGTCCTTATCACTGTTTTGGGGAGGCCACGCTGTAGAGCTCTCATGCGTCGCCGGCCGGAAGGGGTACGCATGGTTTCACAAGATGTGAGAAAATGTGAACGAGAATGGATGAACTATGAAACAGTTGGGTACAAGTACTAACCCTAATTGGGTTGTACCCCTTATGGGCTACCCCACTACAGCCTACACAAAAGCATAAGCTATAATGTTCTGACACACCCCTATAGGCAAAGTGGGGGAGAACAAGCGGTCACAAGACCAGTCAAGCAAAGCAAAGCAAAGCAAGCTCAGGGTGGATCACAAAGTCACCACACATTCCAAGCACAAGTTCAAGGCCACAAGGCCAGTTCACATGCATGAGTACATAAATATAGAAAGCTAGACAAGCAAGAGCAGGTGTATATATATGTAACAGTACAAGTAAGGTCAAGAGGTGAGCAAGTGAGGCAAGACAGGCACAAGACCAATGCTGAGTACAGAAGCGCTGATGATCACAAGGCGCAAGTGCCTTGGTGAAAACATCAGCAGTGTTGGCTCAGAGGCCACGTACGCAAGTCGCAACTGACCACGCTGCTGCCAACTCACGAGCAAGGAAAGTAGCGGAGAGCAATGTGCTTCGTTCTGTGCTCGACGCGCTGCTCCCAACACAAGGCTAGCATGGCCTTGTTGTCTACGTACAGCACCGGAGGAGAACGAGGCGGCTCTCCGAGGTCAGTCAGCAGGTAGGTAAGCCAGCGAAGCTCCTGTGCAGCCATGGCCCCGGCGTAGATCTCAGCCTCACAACTGGAGCCGAGAACAGAAGACGAGTGAGTAGCCCGCCACGAAACAGAGCCGGAACCAAGGATGAAGGTGTAACCCTGTGACGACCGCTGCGTAGCCTGGTCGTCTGCCCAAAGAAGCGTCCGCGTGTCCAGTGATGGACCACTAGACTCCGCACTCCAATCACTAGCCCCATGCCCGACGTACTGCACAAGTAGCGCAACACCCTCTTCGCTGCAGCCATGTGCTCTGGTCTGTGTCTCCCAGGAGCAACATAGCGTGCAAGAATGCTAAGAGGGTATGCAAGGTCAGGTCGTGTGCAGGTCATCAGGAACATGAGGCAGCCAACAAGCTTCTGGGTACGGGCCACTCGACTCTACGGGACTCAATCGAAGGCAGAGCTGAGAGCGAGTGGCGAGTAGATAGATGAGTGGCCCTGAGGTGAGGAGTACGTGAAGCAGAAGCGCTGAAGGACCTGCTGCACCATGTGTGACTGAGTCAGGGTAATGGTGCGGCGTGCTCTGTCCCGGGTGATCTGCAAGCCAAGGTAGCTGCGCAGTTCACCCAGGTCTGTGCACGTGTGTCTCTTCTGCAGCTCGGACTTCACGTGGGCGAGTCCAGCAGTGTCAGCTGTGGCAACGACCAAGTCGTCGACGTATACGAGGATGTAGAACGGGGGCAGAGAGGTGTCGGTTGCGTAGAAACAGCGAACGGGTCAGCAGTAGAGGGAGCAACCCAAGAGCCGCAAGTGTAGTCCTCAGTGTGTCGTGCCACTCGCGCGGTGCTTGGCGGAGACCGTAGACTGGCCGTCGGAGGCTCCACTGGGTGCCAGGAGGGAAAGTCCCTGTGAAGCCAGGTGGACGGCGCAACCAGATCTTCCTCGTGCAGGCTACCCTGCAGAAAGCAGTGCTGAAGTCAAGGGAGTGAAAGCTCGTAGTCACGCTGAGCTGCTACGTGTAGCAGCACCCGAAGATTGGTCATCTTCGGGGTGGGAGAGAAGGTCTAAAAGTAGTCAACTCCCTGCCGCTGACTGAAGCCACGAGCCACGTACCGCGCCTTGAAGACAGGTGGAGAGCCCGGCGGCCGCTTCACCCTGAAGATCCACATGCCACTGACGATGTTCGCCTTAGGAGGGGGAACCACGCGTCAACGTAGGTGCCTGTGGACTTCCAGGAAGCCATCTCTGCATCCATAGCTTCCTGCCACTGAGAGGAGTAGGGACCCTCTACGGCCTCCGCGTAAGAGCGCGGAGTCAGGATGTCAAGTGCATCCGGGTCTCCCTCAGGGGTAAGCAGTACGGACGCGAGATGAGGTGAAGCAGCAGCCAGACACTGGAACTCCTCCTGCTTGTCCTCAAGGGACGTCCGTAGCCAAGAGCACACTCACCCCCGACGGACGGAAGACAGACAGACGCAGACTCAGCAACAAGACTAGCAGCATAGTCTAGACGACAGCGAGCAGCAAAGTCGACGAGCTCAGCAACAAGAGCAGACGCAGCAGTGGACTCAAAGGAGGGGTCAGTGACGACAGTGAGCAAGGAGACGCGTGACAGTAGGACTGGCAGCACGAAGAGAGTCCCACTCAGGGTCGGCAAGCACAGGAAGAGAGGACTCAGGAGGAGAGGGCAAAGGGGTACGCAGAGGAGCAGTGGACGGACGCAGAGACATCCGGTGCGTGCTAGGGACAGGAGGAGGACGCTGACGCAAACTGCGACCACTAGTGCGAGGCAGCACGAACAGGCGATGCAGGACGAGACGCAGGCTCACGACGCTCAGCAAGACCTCAAATAGGACCACTGTACGGAGAAGGAGAAGGCAGTGGGGAGACCGGTGGTAACTGCGACTGCGACTGGACAGGCGGTGGACACCCTAAGGGAGGTGGAAGACCAAGAACCTGCTGAAGGAGCGGAACAAAGTACGGCCGAGGCCGCGCGGCGACTCAAGACACGGTAGGGACAGCACCAGTACCCCCAGCGGCGGCACCAGCGTCAACAGCACCTCCAGCTCCAGTACCTCCAGCAGCACCAGTAGCACCCGCAGCAGGACCGCCGCCAGAACTGGCAGCAGTATCCTCAGCGCCAACACCCTCAGCAGCTCCGACTCCAGTAGCACTCGCAGGACTAGCACCTCCGAGACCGGCAGCACCAGCACCCTCAGCAGCCGAAGAAGCACCAGCTCCAGTAGTACGCCTCCAGCGCCGGGCAAACCACATCGCGGCAGCTTCTGTGGAGAGAGTGGCTCCCGCCGTCACAAATCACCCGGAGAACCAGCAGGCCCAGCAACGCCAGACGCCACACGAGTAGGTCCAGCGGCCGCGGGCTCCGCACCCCCAGGCTCAGTAGCTCCAGACTCAGCACCCCCAGGCTCAGCAGCTCCAGGACGCAGCACCCCCAGGCGAAGGACCCCCAGGCTCAGCATCCCCAGTCGTAGCACCCCCAAGCTCAGCACCCCAAGTCGTAGCACCCCCAGGCTCAGCACCCTCAGGCTCAGCACCCCGAGTCGCAGCATCCCCAGACGCAGCACCCCCAGGCTCAGCACCCACGTGCGCAGCACCCCCAGAGTCAGCACCCCCAGGCTCAGCACCCGCAGCAGTACCAGAGTCACCACCAACCTCGTCCGGCTCAACTGCATCTACCTGGGACACACCTGAAGGGGGCAGGACCCTGAAGGGGGAGGGGGTCTACCGGGGGGGGACCTGGCACAAGGAAGTGCGGTGGCGGGGGGGAGGGAAGGAGTGCGGTAGGGGAAGAGACGGTAGTAGGGTACTGACTCGTCGAACGTGACGTCCTGGGAGGACAGAACACGACGAGAGGTGGGGTGGTAGAACTGCCACCCAGAGGCGTCATAGGGGAAGCCAAGGAAGACACAGGGAGCAGCCCGAGGGGACAGCTTGTCCGCAGAGAAGTCGCGGACAAAACACCCGAGATCCCCAGACACGGAACGCAGACGCATGGCCAACCTTCCCCGTCCACAGCAAAGCTGGGGAGGTCTCTGGTCTGGAGACCCTGGGGTGAAGGTTGATCTCATGCGCCGCGTACTGAACCGCAAACGGCCACAGAAAATGGGGGGCAGCTGCATGCATCATGGACGTACGAGCGACGTCCATGACCATGCCAATGCAGCGCCCAGCAATCCCATTTTGCTGTGGAGAGTCCGGAAGCGTAAAGGTCTGGCGGATGCCTCGCGCACGACAGTAGGCTCGCAGAAGGCCAGAGGAGAACTCTCCGCCTAGGTCAGAGTGCAGACGCAGAACAGGAATGTCCGATCCGAAGCTCCTCCTGAGCTTGAGACGAGCTGCGCGGATCTAGTCGATCAACACCTCAGCGACATCACCCTTGCTGCGCAAGGGGAAGACTGTGGTGTAACGCGAGTAGTCGTCAACCACCAGCAGGAAGTAGCGCTCGTGACCCTGTCCACGGACGCGGGTCAGGCCCCACACGTCCATGTGAAGCGTCTGCAGCGGGGCCTCTGTCGGGGGAAACTGAGAGGAGTGAGGGGCAGCTCGGAGCCGCCCCTCGACACAGGGGACACAGGAAGGACCAGGCCCCGGAGGAAGGGGAGGGAGGGACCGGGGAAGACCAGAGACAAGGACACGGGAAGCCATGCCGCGGAGACGAGGCAGGGAGGGGTGACCAAGACGGTGGTGCCAGAGGAGAGTCCTCGTGAGACATGAGGCGACTACGAGCAGGGGGTAGACTCAGGACCAGACCTGGACGCTGCAGCAAACACCTGACCCGACGCAGCTACCTGACCAGACGCAGTAACTAGAGGAGACTCAGTGGTCAGTGTGTACAGGCTCGACCCCGGCCGACGTATAAACGTGGCCAAGTGTCGGCCTGTCCGAGCATCCGTGCAGTGGGTCACCCGCTGACTCGCAGGAGTGAACTGGTGAACCCCCGTATCCTGCAGGTCAGCACCACTCACCAAGTTTGTAGAGAACGAGGGGAGATAAAGACCAGACAAGGTGCCAGAGGGGGCAGCCGAACACGGGAGGACAGTGGAGAAGTGAGAGAGGACAGGACCCCCAGAGGGGTCTGCCAGGGAGACTGCAACTGGCCGACCAAGCGGCGTGAGTGTGGTGCGGTCTCGAAAGAAGGAGCGAGAAGCCCCTGAGTCAAGTGTGAAGGTGAGGGAGGCCGAAGCCGACGTGGTACCTTAGAGCGCAGACTCACCAGCACGTGAGGGCGCGGACGCAGTGGCACCTAGAGCAGCAACCTCACCAGTACTTAGAGCAGCAGTTAAGTACCAATGCCCGGGTCGGGCGGGAAACACCGGTAACAGTCACCCTCATCACTAATAGTCACAGAATACATGGCAGCAAGGATAGCATCAAAGTCAAGATCAAAGATAGCTACGCCTGCCCTAGACAGCTCTCCCCAGCGGGGGATCTCACTAGCCTCCGGGAACTGCTGACGCCAAGCGTCCGTCAGGCGGCCAAAGCAGCGCTGGGTGGGGTGAGCACCCCCACACTGCTCACCCGCGCGGTTGCCGGAGCGAAGGACGTAGGTGCACGGACCGAAACCCCCCACCACGGTGACGCTGCATGTACCACTCACGGAGCTGCTGAGGAGGGGGGATGTCCCGAGAACGCTGTTGCTGCTGCTGGCGCTGACCACTCCCGGAGCCGCTCCTTTGAGAAGTACCACCCCGACCAGCTCCACCTCCTCCACCACCGCCGCCTCCACCTCCGCCGCCACCGCCGCCTCCGCTCCCACCGCTACCGCCACCGCCGCCTCCGCCTCCGCCGCTGCCACCGCCACCTCCAACCCCGCCACCACTCCCACCGCCACCCCCACTCCCCCCTCCGCCCCCACCGCCACCTCCACCACCCCCGCTAGCCCCACCCGCGCCCTTGCCCCCCTTGCCCTTGCCAGAGCGGCGTCTCCCGCTAGGGGCAGACGCCGTACCGACCGACTCAAGACCAACGAGGTCGGCCGCAGTAGTAGAGGCGACAGAGGGCAACAGGGGGGAAGGGGAACACCCCTCAAAGATGGGGGTGCGAGGGTCACCACGAGAGGCTCCTACAGCGACTATGCTCTTCTCCGCTGCTAGGAGGGCCTTCTCTAGGAGGTCAACAGTGAGAGTGGTGGGATAGACTGAGAGGAAGTGGTCCCTGACTACACGAAGGGAGTCAGGGAGGCGAGTGACTATATAATAGAGAGTGATGTACATGGGGGGGGGGATTCTTGGCGCAGAACTCAGGAGGAAGTGCGGCGCGGTAGCGAGTGTCACTAGTGCGGAGGTGCGTAACGAGGTCAGCGACTGTGGGAAAGGCAGCAAGGTCAGGAAAGAGGTACGGTAGCATGAGGCGGCTCAGTGCAGCAGTGGCAGGGGAAGAGTAGCGCGCAACTACAGCGTCGTATAAGGTGTGAGCACTCTTGTACTGACTAAAGTGCGCGCGCTCAGAGGTAGGCAGGTGGCGACGCACAGCAAGACGTGCAGCAGCATCGCGCGTGGCCCACTGGGAGCGAACAGTGGGGTCAGCATCAGCAGCAGGGGCAGGAGAGGCGCCAGAGGTGAGGTCAAAGAGGGAGAGACCGTCTGCCCTATCGCACTGTAAGAAGAGCTGCGGGTCATCTACCCAAACCTCAAAGTCAATGGCTCGACCCTCAGCGTCAAAAGCGAGAACACTAGGGGAAGCCATGACAGCAGTAGACTAGCGAGACCAACTGTAGGACAGGGGCAGTGCAGTGACAGAAGCGCTGGTCTCACCAGACAGGGCAAGTCGGGCAGCTCAGTAGTGCAGTAACACAGCAACACGGCTGCTCGGATGGCTCAGTAGCGACTGCGGCTCCGCCGCAACCGGCGACTCGGCTGATCAGGCGGCTCGGGCGGCTCGGGCGGTTCGGGCGGCTCGGGCGGCTTGGGCGACTCGGGCGGCTCGGGTGTCTTGGGCGGCTTGGGCGGCTCGGGCGGCTCGGGCTGTTGTGGCAGCTCGGGCGGCGCGGGCGGTGTAGGGCGGCAGGGCCGCTGGTGAACGGTGTCGGGGCCGCTGAGTAGGGCGGCGGGGCCGCGGGCGTAGGGCGGCGGGGCCGTAGGAGTAGGGCGCCGGGGGCCGCAGGTAGTAGGGCGGCGGGGCCGCAGGAGTAGGGCGGCGGGGCCGCAGGAGTAGGGCGGCGGGGGCTGCAGGAGTAGGGTGGCGGGGCCGCAGGAGTAGGGCGGCGTGGCCACAGGAGTAGGGCGGCGGGTCCGCAGGAGTAGGGCGGCGGGGCCGGTGCAGAAGGGCGGCAAGGCCGCTGAGCAGGGCGGCGGGGCCGCGAGGTAGGGCGACGGGGCCGCGAGGTAGGGCGGCGGGGCCGCGAGGTAGGGCGGCGGGGCCGCGAGATAGGGCGGCGGGGCCGAGAGGTAGGGCGGCGGGGCCGCGAGGTAGGGCGGCGGGGCCGCAAGGTAGGGCGACGGGGCCGCGAGGTAGGGCGGCGGGGCCGCGAGGTAGGGCGGCGGGGCCGCGAAGTAGGGCGACGAAGCTGCGAGGTAGGGCGGCGGGGCCGCGAGGTAGGGCGGCGGGGCCGCGAGGTAGGGCGGCGGGGCCGCGAGGTAGGGCGGCGGGGGCCGCGACGATGGGCGGCGGGACCGAAGCGACGGGCGGCGGGGCCGAGGCGACGTGGGGCGGGGGCCGCTAGGGGAAAGGGCCGCTAGGGCGGCTCGTCGAAGTGCGACTCGGGCGGAGTGCGCTTCGGGCAGGAAAAAAAAAAGGTCGATGTGGTGGGCCCTAGGCACAGTTCCCAAAGGGGAACCTGCTCGATACCATGAGAAAATGTGAACGAGAATGGATGAACTATGAATTAGTTGGGTACAAGTACTAACCCTAATTGGGTTATACCCCATATGGGCTACCCCACTACAGCCTACACAAAAGAATAAGCTATAATGTTTTGACAAGATGATCTTGAGGAGACCGAGGAAGGGATTCAGCGGAAGAGTGAATCTACTTCATTGGAAATGGTTGTGTCTACGAGCAGTGTGGCGAGTAGACCATTGCCTAGGATGACTCGACAGGTCCGTGTTCGCTCCGGTCTGCCCCCAATCATTGTGAATCGAGCGTTCTGCTGGACGATCAATGAATTTGCAAGGCGTTTCCCAAAACAGCATGATGTCCTCCAGAAATGGGCGGCCAGCTAGTTATCCTTTCCGTTTGAAGCTATTGTAGGGCGTTTTGCAACCCAACGTACAGTGGAAAACGTGATACGAGTTGCGTGTGGCGCAAACCTTGACGTGGGCGTAGACGACGCGGAGTTGGGGCCGAAGAACCACCGTTTTTGCTGTTACGTGGGGCATTCAAATTTGTTGGGAGAGGACACCAGTGACCAGGTCGTGCTTCCCTAGCTCATATACGTAGTGATTGCCTCCTTGTACCCAGAGCCATCGACGGAGGTGTATTACCTACGATGTGGGTATGACGAAGTGTTGTGGTTCAACGACTATAGTCTGATGCCCGAAGCGATCGACTTTGAATGTGATGGTGTTGTAGGGTTTATGCGTAGCCACTTGAGTGATAGCCAGTGAAATCACATGTGTGTTTGACTCGCTCTGACTGTACAGTTACTATTTGAGAACTTCCTTTGTTCGAAAACATCCTCCCGTCTACGCTTGCAGTGCAACCGACAAGGAGATAGATGAATAAGCCTACAGATAAAGTAGCCATGTGTAGCCACGGTTGCACTGTGTGCCCTGATAGGTGGCCAGAGGTTTGGGTGCAAGGTACGGTGGGAATGCGACTCGTGAGATGAAAAAGCACCGGCGGGTGAGTTGAGATCTACATAATACACCAAGTAGTATGTGTCATATGCATGTCATGGCAGCAATGAGTTGTTCCGATGCCATGTGAAGGTGAAGCGTCTTCCAGGAACGCGTGGACGCGTAAGAGCGTGGTGCCCATGTTGGTTGTGGGAATGAGACGGGATGTCCCTCCAGCGCGGCGGTCAAAGAGGTCTTGCAACCATCAAAGCCAATAAGGTGCATGCGCATTGTCGCATAGCTGCGGAAGGGTGCAACGGGGTGCAGACGGGAGGGGTGGGGGTAAATGGGATGGGTAGGAGATAGAGGGATGCTGCCCCTACAGTTGTGAGGACGTGAGAAAGCGTGTGAAGGTGTGCAAGAAAGAGGCCTTGTGCAAGTGTGTGCATGTGTGCAAGGTGTGCGGGTTTGCAATGATGTGCATGTGTGCAAGGTGTGGGGGTTTGCACGGGTGTGCATGTGTGCAAGGTGTGGGGGTTTGCACGGGTGTGCATGTGTGCAAGGTGTGGGGGTTTGCACAGGTGTGCATGTGTGCAAGGTGTGGGAGTTTGCACAAGTGTGCATTTGTGCAAGGTGTGGGGGTTTGCACGGGTGTGCATGTGTGCAAGGTGTGGGGGTTTGCACGGGTGTGCATGTGTGCAAGGTGTGGGGGTTTGCACGGGTGTGCATGTGTGCAAGGTGTGGGGGTTTCCACGGGTGTGCATGTGTGCAAGGTGTGGGGGTTTCCACGGGTGTGCATGTGTGCAAGGTGTGGGGGTTTGCACGGATGTGCATGTGTGCAAGATGTGGGGGTTTGCACGGGTGTGCATGTGTGCAAGGTGTGGGGGTTTGCACGGGTGTGCATGTGTGCAAGGTGTGGGGGTTTGCACGGGTGTGCATGTGTGCAAGGTGTGGGGGTTTGCACGGGTGTGCATGTGTGCAAAGTGTGGGGGTTTGCACGGGTGTGCATGTGTGCAAGGTGTGGGGGTTTGCACGGGTGTGCATGTGTGCAAGGTGTCGGGGTTTCCACGGGTGTGCAGGTGTGCAAGGAATGGGGGTTTGCACGGGTATGCATGTGTGCAAGGTATGGGGGTTTGCACGGGTCTGCATGTGTGCAAGGTGTGGGGGTTTGCACGGGTGTGCATGTGTGCAAGGTGTGGGGGTTTGCACGGGTGTGCATGTGTGCAAGGTGTGGGGGTTTGCACGGGTGTGCATGTGTGCAAGGTGTGGGGGTTTGCACGGGTGTGCATGTGTGCAAGGTGTGCGGGTTTGCACGGGTGTGCATGTGTGCAAGGTGTGCGGGTTTGCACGAGTGTGCATGTGTGCAAGGTGTGCGGGTTTGCACGGGTGTGCATGTGTGCAAGGTGTGGGGATTTGCACGGGTGTGCATGTGTGCAAGGTGTGGGGGTTTGCACGGGTGTGCATGTGTGCAAGGTGTGGGGGTTTGCACGGGTGTGCATGTGTGCAAGGTGTGCGGGTTTGCACGGGTGTGCAGGTGTGCAAGGTGTGCGGGTTTGCACGGGTGTGCATGTGTGCAAGGTGTGGGGGTTTGCACGGGTGTGCATGTGTGCAAGGTGTGCGGGTTTGCACGGGTGTGCATGCGTGCAAGGTGTGCGGGTTTGCACGGGTGTGCATCTGTGCAAGGTGTGCGGGTTTGTACGGGTGTGCATGTGTGCAAGGTGTGGGGGTTTGCACGGGTGTGCATGTGTGCAAGGTGTGCGGGTTTGCACGGGTGTGCATGTGTGCAAGGTGTGGGGGTTTGCACGGGTGTGCATCTGTGCAAGGTGTGGGGGTTTGCACGGGTGTGCATGTGTGCAAGGTGTGGGGGTTTGCACGGTGTGCATGTGTGCAAGGTGTGCGGGTTTGCACGGGTGTGCATGTGTGCAAGGTGTGGGGGTTTGCACGGGTGTGCATGTCTGCAAGGTGTGGGGGTTTGCACGGGTGTGCATGTGTGCAAGGTGTGCGGGTTTGCACGGGTGTGCATGTGTGCAAGGTGTGGGGGTTTGCACGGGTGTGCATGTGTGCAAGGTGTGGGGGTTTGCACGGGTGTGCATGTGTGCAAGGTGTGGGGTTTTGCACGGGTGTGCATGTGTGCAAGGTGTGGGGGTTTGCACGGGTGTGCATGTGTGCAAGATGTGGGGGTTTGCACGGGTGTGCATGTGTGCAAGGTGTGGGGGTTTGCACGGGTGTGCATGTGTGCAAGGTGTCGGGGTTTCCACGGGTGTGCATGTGTGCAAGGTGTGGGGGTTTCCACGGGTGTGCATGTGTGCAAGGTGTGGGGGTTTGCACGGGTGTGCATGTGTGCAAGGTATGGGGGTTTGCACGGGTGTGCATGTGTGCAAGGTGTGCAGGTTTGCACGGGTGTGCATGTGTGCAAGGTGTGGGGGTTTGCACGGGTGTGCATGTGTGCAAGGTGTGGGGGTTTGCACGGGTGTGCATGTGTGCAAGGTGTGGGGGTTTGCACGGGTGTGCATGTGTGCAAGGTGTGGGGGTTTGCACGGGTGTGCATGTGTGCAAGGTGTGGGGGTTTGCACGAGTGTGCATGTGTGCAAGGTGTGGGGGTTTGCACGGGTGTGCATGTGTGCAAGGTGTGGGGGTTTGCACGGGTGTGCATGTGTGCAAGGTGTGGGGGTTTGCACGGGTGTGCATGTGTGCAAGGTGTGGGGGTTTGCACGGGTGTGCATGTGTGCAAGGTGTGCGGGTTTGCACGGGTGTGCATGTGTGCAAGGTGTGGGGGTTTGCACGGGTGTGCATGTGTGCAAGGTGTGGGGGTTTGCACGGGTGTGCATGTGTGCAAGGTGTGCGGGTTTGCACGGGTGTGCATGTGTGCAAGGTGTGCGGGTTTGCACGGGTGTGCATGTGTGCAAGGTGTGCGGGTTTGCACGGGTGTGCATGGGTGCAAGGTGTGCGGGTTTGCACGGGTGTGCATGT